GAGTTATATACTGACATGAACAGGTGAGTGGAATGAGCTGATTAGGTTTTCAGTAACGGGAGGGGCAGAGGCAATGAGCAGGACCAGACTGACAGGAGCAGGAAATGGGCATGACAAGGGCAGACAGGAGCAGGATCATATCCAATAGAGCATCTTTGGGATGTGGTGGAACGGGAGATTCGCATCATGGATGTGCAGCCGACAAATCTGCAGCAACTGTGTGATGCCATCATGTCAATATGGACCAAAATCTCTGAGGAATGCTTCCAGCACCTTGTTGAATCTATGCCATGAAGAATTGAGGCAGTTTTGAAGGCAAAAGGGGGTCCAACCTGTTACTAGCGTGGTGTACCTAATAAAGTGGCCGGTGAGTGTATGTTTTTTAAATCCGGAACAGCGCTTGTTGCAAAGTGTTTTGACGCTCGTCTTCGTCACATTTCACATGCTGTCATTGGTTGAGGAGCTTTGTTTACAAAACAGATGTCCACATGGTTTTTAAATTGTTTTAATTTCCTTACTTTCTAAGACACATTAGGTTGATTTGGTGCTGCAGTTTGCCTTGTAATGTTATTTTATACCTTTCTGCTACTTTTGCCTTTGCTGTTATTAAGTTTTATTAGTTTTTAGGATACAAGATGCTTCCYACAAAAATCAGAATGTGAATGTTATCCAGTTCATCTTGATATCTTGAATACTGAGGAAGTTATGAACAAAAATAGAAAACAAGAAGGTGAAATGATCACATTGGTTCTGCTGAGAACTGCAGCAAGAAAATATGAGCTGATTTCACCTAAACGAACATCAGTAACTTCCCTCATACTTGAGATAATCAGATGATTTTGGTGTTATTTTGTATGGTTTGTAAAGTTTTTTTTTTTTTCTGAATCCTCTGTCAGATTTAATATTGGTGTAGGACAAAAATTTATCCACATCCCTACATTAATGGAAATGAGTAAACAATCACCTTACCTTCCACAACGGTGCGATGCATCTGATAAACCCTTGGGAATCGCCTTTTGAGGAAACCCTCATATTTGGCATTTGCCCACTGGAGCTTGGAGGCGACGTAACGTACAACAGCACCTCGTCTAACTTTGGACGATGTATAACGCCTGCAGTACAGTCGGATGTGGAAAAGATTAAGACAAACAATCGATTAAAATACAAAACATTTGACTATTTATATAAACTATAATATTACACCTAATTTAGACCCCAATGACAGCTATAAACTAAATAACATTACTGGTTAACATTAAACAATCAACAGATTAAGCGAAAGACTTCCTTTATCTGTCGTTATGTTATCGAGTTTCTTGAMAGAGGAGTTTGCATCATGACAGCTAGCTTAGCAAATGTTCAACAAATGACACGAAAACAAGAAGATAAACACTGGACTCGTGTAAACTGAGGACATACCTGGGTTGGTAGGAAACATTTCGAGAATAAAAGTCATGTGTTATTCTACTGGTACCGAAACCACACAGTCGAGTTAAAGACAACTGACTGCACAGTCCGGTACAGGACAGCGCCATGTTTGATACAGTTACCGTAATGACGCTGATATGAAACACTGGTGGCTCCTCCTTTACCGTAATGGACCAAAAGCTAGCGTCCAGTCTGTTTTCACATTGAAATGTCAATAAT